ATTTTCTTTTATTCGTTCATTGCATAGACTGTTTATTTAGCTTTGCAAAACTGGTCTGATGTTGTTTCTACGTTAATTAGAAACCGAGCTATTAAGGATTTCATAAAGACGCAAAAACCGGAAATGGACATTTAAATCACCGGAAGTGCGCATTCAAAGGGTTCAAAAGAGCTAGCCAATGGACATAAATAATTTTTTTATCTTTGAAATGTAATGTAAAGATTCTGAAAGAGAGGGAATTAATAGAATCTTTTCTGTAATCTGTGCAGCAACACGAAATTATTTCCAATAAAATGCAATATTTTTATTAATACCTGTGGAAAGCGTTATGTCCTCGTTAGCATATGAGTTTGATTGGATTCGAAACATAGCATACTGCAGTTATATTTATATTAGACTCTGATTATTTTTAACAACATTCGAGTTAAAAGTATAATAAAGGGTGATAAAAAATTGAAGCCGTGTTTGTAAACGAAAATGCGTAAGGACGTGTTGCGAAGGAAATAGAGAATAATATTAATAAAGCAATTCCCATCGAGTGAATCAAAACTAAAATGTTTCTCATCGGCAGGAGATGTTTTTGAAAGTGATTTGTGACGTAAAAGATATTTCTATTTAAGTAGTGTTATCAGGACTGGTATTCCTCTTTACTTGCCTTGGAAACATGAACTGTCCTGACTCGAAACAGGGAGCTTACTAAAGTTATGTTCAAATAAATTGTGAACAATACACACAGGAAGGGTATACGAAACCCTTTATTTTCTATCTTTACAGAGATTTCCGGACTTCAGAATACAGAGACCAACCACTTGTGGTCTGAACGTAAGAATATAAAAATATTAACTAAAACTCTAACTAAACTAACTTTGGATTAATATACAAATGCCTACTTTAAGATTGGCCGTTAATTAACAAAAAGTCGTATGTATTACAGAGAGCTGCTAAAACTACGATATGTTTAAAATTATCAAGAGGATTAAACCTCTGGCCTTGAAGGCAACCAGCAAACGAGTAAAACTACTATGGCAAGCGGCTTGCTTCTAATAACTCCTTCCTCTCTCTTGCTTGGCAAAACGCCACAACTTAAGTACTTGGCGTTAGCAAGATAAATTTGCATAAATAAGTTAAAAGCTTTTAATTCTGGCCGGAAGTAGAAAATAAGAAGTGATAGTAAAGATTTAAAATAAAATAAACGTTAGAAAACTTAGGATCCTTACAGTGTCACCAAATATGAACGCAAGTCATATTCAGAAGCTCCGTTCCAGAGTTAGAAAATTGAAGGGAAAATAAAAATATCTTGATGGATGGGTCAACGTCGCTTACTAATGATGTCTTTATTGACAAACTTCAAAATGTAGTTAGAATCAGGAACAATGAATGGAAAGTCCTGTAATTGCTCCATTTTTTCACACTTTCTCGAGTGCAAAACTACCTATAGATGGTCAGTGCCCAGATGGACCGGACATTTTCTGTAAATATCAGAGAGCTGTATCAATTAGAAAGAGTGTACACAAACAAATCGAAAGGACTGGGCCCAAAGAATGTAATTAATATTCTTCAGAGTGTATATAAAACTGTGTGAGCAGAAGCTCTTTTAGAAGTGCTTATAAAGAAAGACACAAAATGCAAACAAAATTTTAATGACATTTTTTGGAAATTTATACCGATGGTTGCCATTGTGGAATTACAAACTCTTAAACTGGAGCCATATATAACTGTTATACACTTTAAACAGAGGCAGATAATAGTACAATTCTATTAGCTGTACTGATCATCTGGTTAGTTCACTGACAGATTAATTTTTAGATTTTTTTTTAAATAATTACAAAAGATAAAAATAAAGGATATTACAAAAGATAAAAATAAAGGGTAGGTTCCGATAACATTATTCTTAAAAGAATAATGTTTAATAAGTTTGTGTTGTCACAAATATTTTTGTAATTTAATCCACTTTGTGACAAAATTTTTCGTCACGTTTCTACCTTGCGCGCATGATATTTTAAAAATGGCTAATGGTACATACTTGAAAGTTAATGGAATTCTTTATATGGGCACTATTTTCTAACTGAACCAACAATCTGATGAATATTTTAATATTAAAAATTTTTATGCACGAAAACATTTCAAATTTTTTTAATAAAATACATTTTTATAAACTCAACTCCAAATATGAAATACAAATTTTTAAATGAATGATATTTTTAGAAGTTTTTGGTTCACAGTAGTTTCCTAAGATGCTATAAAAGCTATACATTAAATATGGAATTAAATTATGCAAGCAGAATGTTTTTAAAACTGTGCGCGCAAGGTGGAAACATGACGAAACATTGTTGTTACAAAGCGGATTGAATTATGGACAATATTTGTGGCAACACAAATTTTCTGATTACTATTTCAGAAATTAGCTATATTATGTTAGTCAGCTGTAAAAAGTTGGTAGTAATTGCTTTTAAAATAAATAAGTTATCCCAATTCTTGCAACAGTCACCTATTCGAACATCTTATGGGTTTTAAGGTGTATGAGTCCCCTTAAGACAGCAGTGACTGAGGCAGTTATTATATACAATGATGGTCAAGCTAGGAGATTACATACAATGAATGCACTTGCATAAGGTATTGGTGATAATGCAGTCAAGTTTTAGCAGACACTGATAAACGTCGCATTCATTCAGCCGAAATAAAGGTGTATTTTTTTTTTTTTTGTGGTGTATTTAATTATGGCAAAGCACACTAGGGCTATCTGCCTAAGAGGAGGGATGCCTTTCGTGGAGGACTTTCTAAGGGAAACTGGCTCGTATACACGTTACACATGGGGAAAACCACGAAAACACCCATGCAGCCAGCCCGTTCTCGGGAATCGAACCTCGGACCGAACTACCAGTGTTCAGCGACTTTACCGCTCGGCCGCTGGTGGGCCCCCAGCCGAAATAAAGGCAGAGATGTCTATGATAGATGCTCTCAGAGCAAGAAAAACAGCCAAACTTGTTGCAGTAACAGATATTGAAGAATAGGAGGGTATGTTGTATGCAGCTGGGTAGTTTTAAACTGTTTTAGTGTTATGTGAGATAAAATATACTGAAATTTTTGGAACTTTAAAACCATTTTTCTCAAAAAGGTGATTTTCATACTTGCGCGCACTCTTTAAAAAAATCTATCATAGCTATTGATTTAAATAGTTTAGGGTAAGTACATGATGATATTGCTTAAGGGGACTCATACACCTTAAAACCCATAAGATGTTCGAATAGGTGACTGTTGCAAGAATTGGGATAACTTATTTATTTTAAAAGCAATTACTACCAACTTTTTACAGATGACTACATAATATAGCTGCTTTCTGAAATAGTAATCAGAAAGTTTGTGTTGCCCACAAATATGTTTATAATTTAATCCCTTTGTGACAACATTTTTCGTCATGTTTCCAACTTGGCGCGCACAGTTTAAAAACACTCTGTTTATAATTTAATTCCATATTTAATATATAGCTTTTATAACATTTGGAAACTACTGTGAACCTAAAATTCTAAATATTTCATGTTAAATTTTTATTTTATTTGAGTTAAGTTTATAATGTATTTTATTAAAAAAATATTTAATGTTTTCGTCCATAAAATTTTTCAGTATTAAAATATTCATCAGATTGATGGTTCAGGTAGAAAGTAGTGCCCATATAAAGAATTCCGTCTAATTTCAAGTATGTACCATTAGCCATTTTTAAATTATCGTGCGCGCAAGGTGGAAACATGGCGAAATATTTGGTCACAAAGAGGATTAAATTACAAAAATATTTGTGGCAACACAAACTTTCTGGTTACTATTTTCCAAAGCAGCTATATTATGTAGTCAGATGTAAGAATTTGGAAGTAATTGCTTTTAAAATAAATAAATAACATATCCCAATTCTTGCAACAGTCACATATTCGAAGATCATAAGGGGTTTAAGGTGTATGAGTCCCCTTAAAAATGCACCTACCGTTTTCTTTGAAAAATTATTTTTAAGTATTTATATAATTTTACTTAAAAATCTTTAATGCTTTCTCTGTTTTATAAGATCTTATTGTAATGGTGTTAATAATATTTGATATTTTAAAATTTAAGTAGGTGAAGAATTACACCTAATAATGTTTGATCCCAAAATTGTGAAAATTTATTACTGTAACTAAATTTGTATTACTGTCCGTTTGGCGCTCAGTGCTCAAGTACAAATTTTAAAATTTTCGAAAAATACAGTTTGCGTTTTCTATATAAAACAAATTCTTATATACACTTAATAAAAAAAAATCAAGAAACATAATCATCTATATATAGAGATGAAACGCCGAAAATTTCTTATATCTATGCCCATAACAATGTGACTTGTTAAAACTCCAAAAATCAGCCAAAATTCTCCGTTTTTGTGTTGCGCAAAAGTGATGACTCCCCTTAAGGTATTGTCGCTATCTTCCAGACGCATTTGCCATGAGTCCGACTAGAGTGTCTTCAATAGTCACTTGACAGTTTGCACATTTAATGTGAGAGAATGCATGAGTGCAAGTTTAGGCTTTCAAATAACTCCACGGAAAAAAAAATCTCCTGTGAGGTTTAGATGAATTATCTGGTAGAAATGAATAATCATCACCCAACTGTGAGAGAAAACGTTAAAGGAATACAACGGCCACTTTATTTGGCGTATTTGAAAGCTGAAATTTTAATTCGCACACTACCTGAGATTAACTGCCTTAAATTATAGTTCTTCAGAAGACTGTGAATGCCTTTACAGTAATGCAGGACGTTTGCAAACTATTATATTGAAGAAGTGAGGCTATTTGTGGATCCAAGACACTAATTTACGTGGTCATGTTCAGTTGAATTATGTGTGATCATACTTGGGGAACGGGTAATGAATGTTAAGGGCTGCATTTTGTAGTAGAATTCTCCGAAGTTTCTTCTAGAACTGTCAGTCTAATTTCCTGCTAGATATTCAGTAATGTTAACGCGGGAAAAAATAATTAATATCTTACCGTGGGGATTGTTCTCGCTCTCAGCTATCGAATTTCTCTCTCTCTCTAATTCCTGAGTCAAAGTGTCTGAAAGAGAGAAATGGAACATGTCATACAAGAATACAACAGTATAAAAAGAAAATTCTAAAGATACCAACTTGCCAATAAACGGCATAAAGGCATCGTCGTTCAGAAGTAATAGAGCAAGTTCTCGATTTCGGAACTTTTCATAATTTATATGAACAACTTTTTCGGAAATTTTACTAGCTTTTTTTCAATTTACTATGGTTTAGTATTTTGTATATTTTTAATTTAATTAGTCCAAAGGGATTTCAGTCCCGAAGGACTATTGCTTTCGTTTTGGCATTTTGCGTCGGACCTCATAAACGTCGGTTCACTTTTCAAACTGTTGCCACAAAATGTTAGAGTCCTGCATTATATTTGAAGAAATTAAATAATGAAAAATCTGCATAAATGATTGTCTATTTCTCGCATTGTGATAAAACAATGGTACATAGAGCCATCGAATTTTGAATGACGAAATCCTACTGCGAATATGGGCATCTGAAATCCCAAATTTGGAATTTGTTTTATTATAGATTTTATATTTTGTAAAACTTTAACGAATTTTTGATTAACAAGACCTCAAGGGATTTCCAAAGCGAGCAATGGCAACGTTTGTACAGAAAAAACACTTTTATCTCCACCGAGCGAGACTCTGTATATCGGAAATTCTAAAGCATATGCTCAGTTTAAAATTATTTTGCGATATTGCTCTTAATTAAGCAACAATCTTAAGCTGAATTTTATGGTTTAAGTGCGAAGAACATGGATATTTAATAAATAAAGGTAACACTCAAAACGTTAAAAAAAAAACGCCACCTTTGGACGTAATTTAAAATCTGAAAAATTTCAGATTTTTTTTTTTTTTATTTTGTCTGTTTTTAAATTTATTATATTTTTGTGCTTATAATTAAAACCCACATGTAAAGGTAAATCTTTGAAAATGTAAGACTATTTCAGAAATAGTTTTTCTGACAGGAAATTAATTTACGACGGTTTTGAGTCTTATAGTATATGTTGAATGTTGCTAATTATTTTAATCATTTGAAATTACCTATTATTCATTTTGACTGAATAAATAAAATCACTTTTAATACATTTCACGTAACATGTACTTCTGAAGCTCGTCATGAAATTCCAACACTCACCTTTGGAGACCATGTGCTTAAGTTAATAAAGAAAACAATTACCTTAACAAAATTCACCTGTTCGCTCTATTTCACATTTACCTTCATTTCACTCTAAGTCAATATTTTTGTTTGATATTTTAGGGTCATTACCCTGAAAAGGCGTTAGCCCGAATGGGGTGTTTGTCTAAAAACGAGATTTGGCGCGTTGGCGGCGTATCACTTTAAATGTCTGAATCACTTTTCAAATTGTTGCCATGAAATATTATCGCCCTGTATTATTTTAAAAAATTAAATAATATTTCTCTCACTGTGAAAAAACGTGTATTTCTCTCACTGTGAAAAAAAAGATGATACCTACGGCCATCAAATTTTGAATAACGTAGTCCTCCATTCGAGCATGCGCACCTGGAAGCCCGAATTTTGAATTTCATATTTTTAAAAAATTTAATGAATTTTTAACAAACTCAACGATTTGAAAACGAGCAGTGGCACTGTACGGGTTAAAACATTGTTACCTCCAGTGCGCGAGACTGCGTATCGAAAATTCTTAAGATTTGCAGTTTTTAAATATTTTGTGAATTTGCTACTGAATTTTAAAGAGCGTTTTCAAGCTTTTTTTAATTTATTTTCTTATTATTATTACTTACACAGAAATAAAAATGAACAAACATTTATATAATTACTTAGAGTAGAAAAAATTGGTGATTTTTGTTCGTTTCAGAAACACAATCATCTGAAATTGGTTCAATCATTTTGAGTCACTCAGCAAGATAACATTTTTGATTCCGTTACGGTCAAAGATAAGCAGCTACCCGTACGAACAATTCATTACACTTTCCTTCTCCACTGCGTTGGTTATCAACGAGCCCCGCGGATAGAAAATAAAAGACTCACTTTACGAAAATTACTATGTCATACGTTTGGCGGTCCGCGGAGAGAGTTGGCAGCTGAACCCCTTCGGGGGATTTGGTTAGTGACGCGCTGGTGGTGGTGGCTGTCACTTACCCACTTTTTTTAAAAAATTCATTCCGAGACACGTGGTTCATAATTGCCATCTGCATCCACCAACAGCGATGTGACCTTTTATTTCGTCCTGATGTCTTCTTCGTGTCATCTGATGTTCATCTTCTCTGACGCAGATGATGAACTGTTGGAGATGAAATGTGGGATTTTGATGTAGTATGTATCTTGGAGTTTCCCAGATCGTTTGTCGTGTTATATTACTTTTATTATGCTGTTAACGAAGTCTACGAAAAATGATAGGTTTCAGATTCGAAAGGAAATACGTTCATTAATAAGTTTTCAAGCAGTTTCAAAAGCTTTTTATTATATTTATTGTGTGAATTTTCATAACGAGGTAAATTCCGCAATTCTAAATCAGAAAAATAAAATAAATATTAAACTTTCACACAATAAATATAATAAAAAGCAGTTTCAAAAGCTTTTTATTAGTCCAAAGGGATTTGAATCCCGAAGGACTATTAGTTTCGTTTTGGCATTTTGCGTCGGACTCATAAATGTCGGTTCACTTTTCAAACTGTTGTCACAAATGTTAGAGTCCTGCATTATATTTGAAGAAATTAAATAATGAAAAATCTTCATAAATGTATGTATATTTCTCTTATTGTGATAAAAGAACGGTACATAGAGTCATCGAATTTTGAATAACGTAATCCTCCAACGAATATGAGCATGTGGAAGACCAAATTTGAAATTTGAAATTTGTTTTATGATCGATTTCCTATTTTTTAAAACTTTGACGAATTTTTGATTAACAAACTCAAGGATTTCAAAGCGAGCAATGGCAAACGTTGTGCAGAAAAAACATTTTTATCTCCAGCGCGTGAGTCTCTGTATCGGAAATTCTAAAGATATGCTCGTTTTAAAACTATTTTGCGATATTGCTGTTGCACTGGATCTTATGGTTTAAGTGCGAGGAACATGATATTTAATAAAGAAAGGTAAAACACACAAAATGTTAAAAAAACGCCCCTTTGGACGTAATTTAAAATCTGAAACATTTCAGATTTTTTTTTTTTTTTTTTTTTAGTCCAAAGGGATTTGAATCCCGAAGGACTATTAGTTTCGTTTTGGCATTTTGCGTCGGTCGGATAAATGTCGGTTCACTTTTCAAACTGTTGCCACAAAATGTTAGAGTCCTGCATTATATTTGAAGAAATTAAATAATGAAAAATCTGCATAAATGTATGTATATTTCTCGTATTGTGATAAAACAACGGTACATAGAGTCATCGAATTTTGAATAACGTAATCCTCCAACGAATATGAGCATGTGGAAGACCAAATTTGAAATTTGAAATTTGTTTTATGATCGATTTCCTATTTTTTAAAACTTTGACGAATTTTTGATTAACAAACTCAAGGATTTCAAAGCGAGCAATGGCAACGTTGTGCAGAAGAAAAAAAACATTTTTATCTCCAGCGCGTGAGTCTCTGTATCGGAAATTCTAAAGATATGCTCGTTTTTAAAACTATTTTGCGATATTGCTGTTGCACTGGATCTTATGGTTTAAGTGCGAGGAACATGATATTTAATAAAGAAAGGTAACACACAAAATGTTAAAAAACGCCCCTTTGGACGTAATTTAAAATCTGAAACATTTCAGATTTTTTTTTTTTTTTTTTTTTTTTTATGTTTCAGATTTTTATTGTGTGAATTTTCATAACGAGGTAATTTCGCAATTCTAAAGCAGAAAAATAAAATAAATATTAAACTTTCACACAATAAATATAATAAAAAGCAGTTTCAAAAGCTTTTTATTATATTTATTGTGTGAATTTTCATAACGAGGTAATTTCGCAATTCTAAAGCAGAAAAATAAAATAATATTAAACTTTCACACATAAATATAATAAAAAAGCAGTTTCAAAAGCTTTTTATTATATTTATTGTGTGAATTTTTCATTAACGAGGTAATTTCGCAATTCTAAAGCAGAAAAAAAAAATAAAATAAATATTAAACTTCCACACAATAAATATAATAAAAGCAGTTTTCAAAAAGCTTTTTATTATATTTATTGTGTGAATTTTCATAACGAGGTAATTCGCAATTCTAAAGCAGAAAAAAATAAAATAATATTACTTTTTTTTGGTAATTTTTTTTTAAAATGTACTAAACGATTTTTTGTAAAATTTGTAAAATGCACTAGAAAAGAAATTAAAAAATAGCATAATTTTTTTTAATGCACTAAAATGTAAAATATTTTTTTTACTCTTCAGTATAACTAAAAAAAAATTGAATAAAAAATAATTATTTAAAAAAGCGTTTCAAATTATACAGTTTAAAAAAAAATGTACTAAAATTCAATATTGCATTTTTTACTTCTATCTTAACTCATAAAAAAAATGGTAGTTACATGGTTTTAGTTAAATTTTTGAGTTAGATAAGATTTTACTTTTTAGTATATATAATTCAAAAACAGAACCACAACTTTTGTAAAATGCACTAAAAGTAGAAGATAGTTTAATCTTTTGTAAAATACAAAAAAAAAGTTTTTTTTTTTTTTTTTTTTTTTTTTTTTTTTTTTTATTTCAATGTACCTTTAAAAAACAGAATAATAAAAAAATAATTATAAAAAAAGTTTTTCAAATTACGCGATTTTCATAAAATGCGCTTAAATTAAAAAATGCACTTTTACTTTTTACAGTGCAACTCAAATGCAGAATGATTGTGTTTTTAAGTTAAATTGATTTTAGTTAAGCTTAGAACTTACATCAGATTTTGCTTTTTAATATATATAATTCAGAAACAAAGTTTCAAAATAAATCAAACAAAACTTTTAAAATTACCGGATTATTGCTAAATTCCCTAAAAAATAAAATAATTGTTTGGTTATCACAGCATTTTCAGTTATTTTTAGTAGAAACTATAT